GATGAAACCAACATATTTACTAAGCCATAAATCATTTGAATATGCCGCATAATTAGCTACTTGTACAGATACATTGCTCTGTTTCTAGATTCGTCACATACGAACAGATTTTATTTATCCTGCCAGGACAACTGGACGATAACAATTTATCTCAAATACTTTAACATTGGACTGTTGAAATTTCCGTAAAATTAACGTTTTACCAGGTACAGCGGATTTTATTTTAAGTTTTTAAGGATTGTTTGATTTTTAAATTTGTATCAAATTGTTTAAGTTATAAAATATAATTGTCATTGGTTTTTATGTAAATTGTTTGTTATCGTAACCATGATGCATTACTGTACACTGTAAAGTGTACTTCAGTTTTAACTATTAAACCATTGTTTTTGATATTATATTTCATACTCATTACTTTTATCATAAAACTGTTCAAATGGTTTGTTTCATTATTTTTGCACACATTTTATTTACGAAATAAAATTATACGGGTGAGTAGTAAATTGAGTAGTAAATTGAGAAACATAGGAGACAGGGATTTATTGATATGCGTGAATGATAATTTTTCAACTGTCACAATTTCAAACACATCTCAACATTCAGGGTTTACGGACAGCGTGGACTGTGTCTACAACAAACTCACTGAGAATTCAGTTTACTGGTTTTCTGCCTTCCAAGTGAAGAGAAGAAAGTATTTCCAGTATTCCTTGATTAAAAATACCCTGGCAGTTCACTTTGGAGGGTTCTCAAGTGTTGAGCTGAGCTCAGAAGATGAAATTCCTGGGCCAAGTAATAGAGGGCCGAAAATCACGTACATTAAAATAAGCGAGGTTAAGAAAATGGATAGTAAAAAAGTGAATTATGTGAACGTGATCGGTATAGTTTTATCTATCGGTTCCATTCAGGCTCACTTGACACAGAATTCTAAAAAAGATACCAAGAAACGATCCATTACAATAATGGACAGTACAGAAAGGACAGTACAAATAGTGTTATGGAGTGATAATGTTAACAAGATAACAACAAAACAGTCAGTTATATCAGTAGAAAATGCTAAAGTTTGCCATACCCAACAACATGGAATTACGGTGCATGTTTGGTTCAGATCAAAGTTATGCCTTGACCAAGACACACAGGACGCCAAAGATCTTTTACAATGGTATAATGACTCATTCTTAACAGTATCAGATGGGTCTTTTGAGGATTTGTAAGATTTTAACCCCCCGAATTATGTCCCAATTTGAGTTTTTAAAATTTGTATTGTGTATCCGAATGAAATTTTTTGTTATAATTGTTTTTATCCAAATGTAATAGCAGCGTTTTTATCTAAAGAATTTTATTATAACTTATTTACCACGATTATATCAATATATCATATAACGAAATTGTATTTTTAACATTTTTATTACATTTATCCGAGGAAATTCAATTTCTATATAGGCGATTTAATTAGGTGTCATTTTACGAACAGTTTGTTTGCTGTATCAAATTAATTCTGTAGCATCGAACATGGCAGCTTCTAAGTTCTTTATACTTCTTTGTTTTTTATATGGGCGTGATATAACCTTTTTTTATTTCATACATACATGTTTTTTCATTCACCAGTCACATTGTTGAACTTTATATAACAGAACCATCTATTTACCTTCAGATGTACAGGAAGCTTAATTTTGGGAACTAATATTATCTAAATTCGATTAGATAGTAAATTAAGCCACTTTTCAACTTAATGATAGCATCTCGAATATAATGATGACATAATATACTCGTATTACAATGAGATAACGTTACCCTGTTTAGAAAGAGAATGGTCAATTTGACTATATTATTATGTAGTGATTTTACGTATGGAGATATTACCTGGCCATTATCTCTAAATCCATATAGTTTTGTATAGTGCTTATTAAGTAAAAATTTAAACTCGGTACTTATAATTGAGTGTTAAAATCAAAGCAACTACATGACAAATATCTACGTATAAATTAAAACTTCAGAATATAATTTGTAACACTTCTTATTACCGCCTCCACCACCATATTACACTAAAATATAAACTATAATACACGCTTACTCTTCCCAGGTGGTCCGGGCGGAAATTACCACGACTTTGGAGATTTCCACTTCCGCACAGCCGAGGACATATTCGCGGAGTTCTTCGGGGGACGTGACCCGTTTGCTGACATGATGTTTGGACACCAACACACCCGACACTCCAGTGCAGGGAGCCGGCCCAGGAGCTCCAGGTCTTCCAGATCTGCTTTCAGTATGTAAGTATTACTGTATGTAAGTATTACTGTATGTAAGTATTACTGTATGTAAGTATTACTGTATGTAAGTATTACTGTATGTAAGTATTACTGTGTGTAAGTATTACTGTATGTAAGTATTACTGTATGTAAGTATTACTGTATGTAAGTATTGCTGTATGTAAGTATTACTGTGTGTAAGTATTACTGTATGTAAGTATTACTGTATGTAAGTATTACTGTATGTAAGTATTACTGTATGTAAGTATTACTGTGTGTAAGTATTACTGTATGTAAGTATTACTGTATGTAAGTATTACTGTATGTAAGTATTATGTATGTAAGTATAACTGTATGTAAGTATTACTGTGTGTAAGTATTACTGTATGTAAGTATTACTGTATGTAAGTATTGCTTTATGTCAATATTACTGTATGTAAGTATTACTGTATGTAAGTATTACTGTATGTAAGTATTGCTGTATGTAAGTATTACTGTATGTAAGTATTGCTGTATGTAAGTATTACTGTGTGTAAGTATTAGTGTATGTAAGTATTACTGTATGTAAGTATTACTGTATGTAAGTATTACTGTATGTAAGTATTACTGTATGTAACTATGTAAGTATTACTGTATGTAAGTATTACTGTATGTAAGTATTACTGTATGTAAGTATTACTGTATGTAAGTATTACTGTATGTAAGTATTACTGTATGTAAGTATTACTGTATGTAAGTATTACTATGTAAGTATTACTGTGTAAGGTGCAGAATACAGATAACAGTTATGATACTTTCTATGTAATCAATCGGTGGGGTGACATTTGGTTATCTGTGTTGTCAAAAATGTACTAAATATTATTCTTATTTTGACATGAGACATTTCACCTATCGATTATACCTAAAATGACATTATATAGTTGTCACGGTTGTGATGAATTGTAGGCCAACAGTTTACAGTTGATTGCCCCTTAGGTTTGAGGACGATCCTTTCTTCTCTTTCGGTGGTCACGGTGGCGGGTTCGGCGGTGGATTTGGCGGTGGCTTTCCTAGTCATGGTTTTGGGGGCGGATTTCCGAGTAATGGTTTCGGCGGCCCCGGACTTGGCGGCTCCTTTTTCAGCTCTTCGTTTGGAAATGGCGGCGCAGGGTTGTAAGTAACTTTAACACAGAAGCAAAATTATTCAATTATAAAGGAATTCTATGATTTTATTTATATTAACAGTCTGTCTTCAAACTCAAAAGTGATACTTTTGATTACTTTTTATCGATTACATAACTTCAGCTCAATGAGCTCAAGCTCGTCGATGGGTGGGCCCAACTTTTCCTCGTCATCCTCTTCTACAACAATAAGAAATGGAAAGAAAGTCACAACAAAAAAGGTGAGCATTTAATCTCACGATTATACTTAGTGGTAAAAGCTATAATCAGCAACGACATAATTAGCTGACATTTGTTTTTGTTGCTTGATATTTAGATATTTAGGGTATTAAGCTTTCGAACAGCATCTTTAATAGGGGGATAATGATTGACGATGGTAAATTTCAGATCGTCCAGAATGGTGTAGAAACCACAACAGTCGAAGAAGATGGCAGGTTAATTTCACACATTGTCAACGGACAGGAACAAGTCGAAAGATTGGAATATCGATAGAGGTGGGTATTTCACGCTTTAGTCTCTACTGTGATAACAAATCTGAAATTCGGCTAATAGCAAGTTGAGTGATCACGCGTTTCAGACAGTCACTTTCTCGTTCTTAAGTGTGGCTCATTTCGTACCACTCGGTCACACATTTATAATTTGATGAGATAGTATGGAACACGCATGAAGATGCACAATTTCTGTCAGCACTTTTGGGCGTCTTATTATGCATATCATGCGCGCGCGCCCGCAAGACCAGTATCTCATATGAGATTAATTACCTGACGCGCACAAGGCAGGTCGCATGTGTATTAATAATATGATTAAAATATTGAATGGATCAGGATTACATGCTATGCTCAACTATCGAAACCATTCATCGGTCAGTTCCGGTTTATTGTGTTGTGAAAGCACGTCTCTTGAGGTGTATTAAAGTACGCTACCTTGCCGCGCGAGAATCTCCGTATAGTTGTTGAGCATGGTATTATTATTACATGGATGATGGAACAGCCAGCAGTCCTGTGGGGCGTCTCCACCGATTGATCCGATTCGGAATAATTACTTTCACTCGCTATCGAGCGGCTTACTTTTTGTATGTAACCTAGTATGACTAAAGTCTTTTTTCAGGTAAAAGAAGTAGGAAGCATCTTCCAGAGACCGAGTTTGCACAGATTTATGGTGAACCGAGCTAGGTTAAATACCGAAGCTGTGTGTTAAAACAGTTGCGTTGGTGACAAGAATAAGAAGGACTGCTAAGATTGTAGATTATTTGAATGTGTATTTGTCGATTGTGTGTTCACAACTTAATTTCGTTTCAGTATCCCATGAATTTCATGAGTAATGTACAATTATAAGAGGGACATGTCATTACATTTTAGTTAATTTAGAGGTATACTCAGTACTATTATATTCGGCCGCGAATAGCTGCCTTTAAAATATTGATTTTGTTATTTAGAGCCTTTTGCAGCCACTTTTCCGCAGCCGAGATTCTTTCAACCATTCAAGATTTCATTGTTTTCAGTAGACCATCATATTTCAACAGAGTTGTCCTACAATTATCTTTCGTGGTCCTCAAGAACAATTTTGCTATTATGACATTTCAGAAGAAACTGTAAACTCGAATATAATAATTATAGCGATTATTGACTCTAAACCGTAATAATTATTTTGCAACAAAACTACTTTCTAGCTAAAAGATGTCAAACTCAGTTTAAAATCACGAATTTGCAAAAGGTTGGTAAAAACAGAAAAGCTTTTATTCCTCCGGTCACATTCTTCAAATATTTGCAAAACTCAGCCCACAGATGGGAAGTTAAAACTACACAGAAACTAAAAATTGTCTTCAGCTTTTTTTGTCTTCTTTAGTTCATAATAAATAATCCCCAGCCGATTAAAAGAACTTTATCAACATATTTTTTATCCCAGTTCATCTCAAATAACGAACCAACGTCATCGGACAGCAGCGATATTATCTCGTGGCTGCAGGGCCGTTAACAACAGATCCAACGTACTGGGCGGGGTCGAGAGATCTGAAAAATGTAATAATTTAAACTTAAATCTTGTTAATCCTTTTATAGGAGGGCGATCGTTACCGAAATCGGGTATCTTCATTGAGCACTGGCCATCAAACAACCATACTCAATTGTAGTCAATAATTCAGTTCGATCATGAGCATTAAATGTTTGTTAGAACCGAACTTAAAGTAATAACAACTTACAACAGAATATGCCGTCAACAAATCGAAATAATGATATATAACTAAAATCAGCAATGAAAATATCTCTTACCCAAGCCGATACCAGATAGAGGGGATTCTTGCTCATTTCTATTGGATTTTAAAACTTTGTCTGCTTCCGATTGTCTGCTGAAAATGACACACGCCGATCTTGTCCTGAATATTATTGCTGGTTAAAATAATATACTAAATGTCACAAATTATCTGCGGAAAAATTTATTTTATTCGGACGAATCTACGAATGAAAAATGTATACAATTTTCGCTACTTTACCTTTTCTTTCCTATGTCGAGTTTGGTTATGTCCACGATTGCACCAAAAGATTGAAAATAATTGAAAAGTTGTTTCCTCGAAACATTCCGACTGAAGTTCTGTACGAAAATTGCTGGACCCCCACAGTTGAAACCCTGTAAGACATCATTATCGTCCTAAAATTTGGGTAACTTGGTTAGAAAATCTTTCTTCTACGACTCAAAATATTTCAGCATCGCAGATCGTTGTGTAATCCAAGATACGATTCCGGAAAGCTATGACCTCGTACGGGTGTCGAAGATCTGCATTTGAGAGTAGTCTCAAATTTTGAGACTATGAGCTCAATCTTATACGACTTGTCTACGTCCTAAGTGTAACCCGTGGGCCGAAATGCACTAATTGAATGATCGTTAAAATTCTCACTAACGATCGAATCGAGCGTCACCGAAATTAGGATTACAGTTAAATTACTAATTTAAAGGAAATTTGCTACACTTGGATAACAAGATCTAAAGATTTCGACGAGCAATCAAATTCTAATTCATTAGACGGTATGAACTTTGGCACTACAAAATTGGGACACTCGATTAGACTGGCTGCACTGTCGATCATTCAACAGATGTACACACACACACACACGTACGGGTAATGGAAGGTGTCCAAGCACATGGTAAGAACGTGTGTACAGCCGCGCGCGCCGCATTTTGGTTTTACAGAAATGATGAGGATGAAAACTCTAATATAAATTCCGCCCAAAATTAAAGCACTTGTTGTAAGCATTAGTAGCTCGGCACGTGTGGGCTGTGCTTGGCGGGTTAGAGTAGTTACGTCATATCAAAGCCAGTAGTTGGACTACTCAGTTGCCAGTACTTAATTATTCTAAGTATTTATCATTGCTCGGCAGTAATCAAGGTATCTAGAAAGTCACATCATGACGTTCATTCTTCATAGCACTAAACTACCAAGATGACATTTTCCGTCCTTTACCTCAAAAAACAGCAGTAAGACACTGATTGAAAAAGGAATGCAAATAGTTGTAAGAATCTTTGAGCGAATCTCTTGGGACTTACATCGACTTCTGATGGAGGAATGATTTTCCATTGACTCGGATCTTCACTTTCTTGGATTGGGTTGGGAGAGGATTTTCTTGATGATGTTCTGGACTTGGACTGTCGCTCTGGGGAGGGTCTCCTGTGTTCACGTGATCTCTTCTTCTCCACTGGTTTCCTCCTCATTTCATCACGTGATCTCTCCCGGTCTCTGGTCTCCTCACGTGACCTATCACGTGGTCTCCCTCCTTCCTGTCGTCTGCACACCCCTCTCCTCTCCTCGTGTCGCACGCTGTTTCTCGGACCCCGCTCCTTTTCTGGTTCCCCCAGTTCTGCTATTTGTATGCAGTCTAACAGGTCTCTTTTGGCACTTCTCAACTCCCGGAACATGTGGCGGGCGTTCTTCTCACTGTTTCGTATTTGATCTTTCAAAGTTTTGATGTAATCAGTGACAGGAACAGTTGTCCTGCGATCTGATATCAGCTCTCTTGCATCACGGATTCCACCCAGCTTTGCAGCTACTTTTTCAGCTCTATGTCCACGAGAGCTATGAGAGCTTGATAGCACCTAAAAGTGGGGAAATGGGTTGGATTAGAAATAATTTTATGCATTATATAAAACATATAAACCCTTAGAATTCGTCACAAAGAAATGAACAATAACACTTTTATATTTTAACACTATTATATAATGAAGATAGCAGGTGGGGAGAATTAAATAACGTTAAAGTTTAAATCAGGTTCAAACCTCTTTATACTGTGGTGTTTTGTTATTCTCGTCCACTATTCTGTGCTGTACCTTGACCCGTCTACTTCCACCATGTCTAGGCGAGGAATGTCTAGGCGAGGAATGTCTAGCGTCGTCGCGTCTGGTTAAAGATGGCTGTCTGCGTGAGCTGCTGTTTCCACGGCTCCTAGGATTGAGGTCCTGTCTGCGGTGCGCACTGTCACGCGCACTGTCACGCGTGCTGTCACGTGCACTGTCGCGCGCACTGTCACGTGACAGTGCACCTGACGACTCTCTGTGTCTGTCTTGTGATGTGGTGTGACGAGAGCTGGCGAACGGACTAGCTTCTCTCGAGTGGATCCTGATGAAATTAGTTGAACTGTTATTTTTATTTGCTGTTTTTGTATATTTGTCAGAATTTGAGAGTATGGTAAGACTGATTATTTAGTCATTTCTGATAATTTCAGACCCCCATTCCCCTCCGTAATCCATCTTAAACATAGATTTTTTGTCCATATTACACTAGCGTAAGCTTTACCTTACCTCTCTCCACTATACGGAATTTTGTCAAGATTAAAACACAACATTTTTCGATTGAAAACCTACCAAACCGATTCATTTAATCAAATATTGTAATTCTAAATACCTCTCTTCTCTATGGTCTCTACTGCGATTCCTATGAGAACTATCGTGATGTCTGGAGACAACTCTGGTCCTGGAACCATCTAGCCGTCCAGCATTTCTGCGGTGATGTGATTTCTCGCGATGAGGTGATCTTTCTCGGTGACGGGAGCTTTCCCGACTCCGGTCCTGTTTAACAGCAACTGATGTGAGTCTCTTAGCCTTCTTTGGTGGCGGAGATAGTCCGGACCTGAAATAAAATGGTTAAAAGATATGGTGATGTTCGAGCTTGTTGAATTTTATATCAAGCTCCAATAAACAGAATGTAAGCTCGACAATGGCAGCTGAGCCCCGTAGTAATAATCTTACCACTACAATTTCGAAAAGCTCTATAATATTCCTTAAGAATCTAGTGAAAGGAGCTGTTACATCAGATGCGCTGGACTTAAAACTACCAGGTGTTCACTGTTCAGATATTAACTGTTACTCAGGTGTTACAAAGAGAGGGGCCACTGTAAAAACAAAGCTACACTCAGTGAGCCAGGCTACAATTGCCAGGAAGATGCGAATTATACTTCTATTATATTTTACTTGAGTCCTGGACGTGGAGGGACGGTTGGAACATGTTGCAATACCTGGACATTTACTGCTGACTAAGAGTTGAGCAATGTATATTGGTTAAAAGTGATTTAAACATTTGATTCGAGATGTAAGAACCGCAGAGGTGACTGATGTGTCCATGACCTGGGTACCCCTACAATCTACATATGGGTTCTCAATAACTTACCACATGATAGTGATGATACGCTCAACAAACAAAATTTTCTTTAGATCCTACGGCCATAAAATGATAAATAATAGAAAGAACGCAAGTAAATTTAACCTTAACTGAAGGGAGAAAGGAACAAAAAAGTTAATTGTTTTTCTTTTCATTACAATCTATAACTTACTGGCACACAGATGAGACAGACATGGAAACTAACGAGAGATAAACTATAAAACTGAATTAGAGGAACAGAAACACAACAGTTAGGACACTTATTTTAACGCTTGATTGGCACAGATTTAAGGGGCAATGAGGTATGAGAACTGGTTACCAAAGGAATGTTACCAATTCAAAGTAACTCAGCAAATTGACTTCGTAATACGATACTTACCGTTATTAATCAAGCAAAACATTACCAACATTACATTAATAGCATGGTTAGGCATTTAACGTAATTAGGTACTTTGCATCGACTCAGTAATTACGGATAAGACTCAAAAGGGGTATCCACTACATATTTACTTGCAGGTACCACCCGTATTCACACTCAGACCTGAGTTTAGTCATTTTCCGATACGAGATTGGGGACGGGTTCTACAATTAAACAGACAACAAACACATATTTACTTAAGTCTAGTTATACATTACTTATCATATTTTATTGAACTAAGGTGTAGTATTTATATTGCCAGATCCCAGTTCAATTTGTAACGGAGTTTTATATTAACAGGAAACGATGTAACTGAGTCGATATATTTTAATGTTGCCATGGGGTGGCAAGCCTCCATACATGATACATCGTGGTCCGGTAGTTTCATTGCGTTAATATAACTATATGGGTTCTCAATAACTGACCACTTGATACGGTCAACAAACAACCTTTTGTTTATCCCATGATCGCCAATTAGTGTAGATACCACGGCCCAGTGGGCGGCAGTGGCCCGCCTTTAGATGATAAATATTACAATGAACTCATAGGATGTGGCCAGAAACCTATAATAAGTTTATAGCAACCTTGCAATGAGTTATAAATCATCTGATAATAATAATGACCAAAATTAAAACTTTAAATATTACAGTTTAACAGACTGTACTAATAAAACCTAGACAATAATAATAGAAAAACCAATAGAAAGACCCCTACAATAATACAACACCATCAAACCACCCAACTATAAACCTAAGGAGCCTAGTTACCTGGAGCCATCAGAGAGATCGTACTCTGAATACTTCTCAACACTGCTGGGTGGGGAGGGGTACAATCTGAGGGGTACGATCTGCGCGCTCTCTCCTGAAGAGGGCGGGGTTTGTTAAAGGATGAGGGGACCTTAGAATTTACTTCCAAATATTCGCGTTTAAGTCCTGTGAAAGTGTGTAGAATCAAAAAATACGCCGGACTGTGAAATCGATAATTCGTGCAATATCACGCCGCGCTCCTATTGGCTGATAGCAATTTTGGGCTGTGACGTCACTTATGTGTTAAGACCAACGTGCGCGCGCACCCTTTGCTCGTGTCAACATTTTGTTCTGTTCTGTTTTAATTACGTCGTGTTACCTTTGGCGTTTGCGAGAGCGGTATCTTTGGTTGCACTGAATTAGTCTAAGTTACGAATAATTCTCTTTAATAATAATAGTTAAATGTAACTCAGAAAAGGCTTTCTTGTAGTTGTATAGTATAGTAGGTATTTCTATTTATAAATAGCTAAGATAAGTAGCATCTGCTAACTAAACCACAAACTGCTATTTTGTTTTGACTTGTTTGAAACCCGATATGGACACAATTAAAAAGAATGTATGATGTAGTAGAAGACATTTCTATCTGAGTACGCACGTGCGGTTTGACACTGCGCGTGTACCGGCCTTTAGTTGTACACTCATTTATAATTTACCGTTTTAGTTTGCTGTGACTTGAGTGTAAAGCGTAACGAATGTGGATGTGTTCGTCTGCTATGCTTGGTATAATATTGCTTGGTGTAATAGTTGCAAATCTTGCTTACGTTATAAGTAGTGTCACATAGTGAGTTAGAACTTAAAAGCTTGGTGCTTGTCCAACTGGAATGAAGACATGCATTTCATACCTACCCGATCCATTTTTATTAGGACCGTGTTGTGTTGATATGACATGTTGATATATCAACTGTGGTACGAAACAGGGAGTTGCTAGGTGTTACGTTGGGAGCTATAAATATACATAATTTACATGCCTTTCTTTGTGACTCTAATCTTATTCCAGGTGTATCTCGGCTCATGGTTATCGTAGGGTGATAATTCTTTTTTCAACCGGTCATAAAAAGTCTCCTCTCCATTGGTTATAGGCTCCTTCGTATCGTAAATTGTTAATTCATTCTTAATTAGTAATTTAGTCGGCCCGCACGCTCATTTTACCTGTATTTCTATATGCGCGGATCAGAGCAACTCACATAATTGACGTCACAGGTTCAAATTGTTTTGGCTGGATATCTCGGCGCGCGAATGAAATACAACTTTGCGGATTTCACTAAAGTGGTTTATACGATTAATGTAATGAAAGGATTTGCACGAGAAAAAAACTTTTTCTAAGGTCCCCTCATCCTTTAATCTTGGGGGTTTGTTCATCTTCATGTTTGGTAAGTTTGTGAATAAGGGCATCCAAATTGTAGAAAATTTGTTATTTATTTGCAAATAATAGCATTGTTTACAATAACAACATGATATTGTTATTGTTAGGTTAAGAACAAGTGCCGTGTCGGGGAAACTATATACATATAATTTAGTAATAAGCTGTTTTTAAATAAGATGTTAACCTGTCAATGCTGCCTCCTCGTTTCTCAGCCAAGTAACAACATCGTCCTTATTAATAGTAACTCCAGATACAGTGTTCTCAGTTATCAATGTTAGCAGCTCTTCTTGCAACGGCTGGAAAATAGAAGATTAATAATGGGACATTTGTGAGACAGAAACTGTATCAAAACAAAAGCAAATAATTGAAGAATAACAGTTATTGACTGCCTTATTATTTTTGTTTTTCCAAAATTTCACCTGAATAAACAATCGGCAGCGAGATCATTGTTTGAAAAGATTGAAGTTTCCAATTTATAGCCTCTTATGTCCTTAACTCCTTCTTAAAAACATAAAAATTCTCACCCGGGTGCCGGGGGGAGGAGGCTCGTCAGAAGCAGTGACTGCGAAATCTGCCAAATCATCATAATCTTCATACATGTCCTGTCTGACTCTGTCGTTATCGTCATCGTAGTCAGAGTCCTCATCCAGATCAATTACTTCCTTCTCTACTGGACTTGCTACTGGACTGCTCACTTCTTCCATAACTAATCATTAAGAAAGTGTTACACCAGGGAACTTTAGAATTGATAAATCAAAGAATCTAAAAAACTCGGATAGATAGCTAATATCAGCTTTTAAACAGAAAATGGCAACAAACAAGCTAAGCTTTTGCGTTAAACTAAGAGAGTCAAACTATGACCGATAGTTTTACCTCAGCAAGGTATGATATTTATATGGCGAATCTTAATTGCTATCGGCTTTAATTACACTACGAGGTTTCAGGAAGTTCCGCACCTCTAATTACAATCATGAAAGACTTATAATTATCAAATCTTATTAGCCGATCAAGTTTAGTTTCCTATGACTTTCATATACATCCATAATGAATGAGGTAGTTAGTTGATAGGGTCATTACTCATAATTAATCATTAGTAAGTGTTACTATCAGTGGATTTCAGCCTATTTGAGTGATAAAATGCTTTGAAGATACTTATTAATTTTGACAATGTGACCTGAGTTTTCTATTACTTGCTAGCTTTTGGTAATAATGAGGCTCGATTTGTCTTATTTCAAATTGCACGTTGTTTGTTAGATTTAGGATATGGACCATGAACTACTGTACTGATTATCAAGAGTCGAAATAAATACACTTCACCAACAGCGAGGATGTAATCCACAATTTTTTTGACAATGTGAAGGTGATACAAAAAAGCAGCTTCTAACAGTGACTGAAATTGGTAAATCAGTGTCTTGTGGCACAACGAATATGAACGAACCCCCACTGTCAATTAATTCTCAGTGAGTATGTACCAATAATTTCTAGATGAAACAATACATAGTACTATAATGTAAATCAAAATGAATAATAAAATGATATAATTGAATTATTGAGAACAATGAAATTTGAATATTAAAATGTTCGTGTGAATTCGAAATTTTAAAATGCACAAATCTAACAGCAAAATTAATTTCCGTGATGAAAAAATTCAATAGATAACAAACGTCTACGATTTGTTATTTGACCTGTGAACAAATCTGTTCCTTATAACATCACAAGATGTGATGGCTTCATACCTGATCTCTGAACTACCCTCAAATGTAACCCAAAGTTTCTCAAACTCACTAATAAACTGATCTAGCACATACTTCTCATCAGTTATAAAAACATTCTCTCTATTGTACGCTGCCCCACTTGCAGTCCAGTTGTAAGACCCCGTCAGTAAGATCTCCTTGTCTATGATCATGAACTTGTGGTGCATCATGGAGGGACTATTGTCCACCCTCACATCCAACCCAGCCTCAGTTATCTTGTAAGCTGAGCCACTGATCTTCATGTTGTCACACACGATTCTGACTGTCACACCTTTACGGTGAGCCTCTATCAGTGCGTCTAACAGCACAGCACAGCTGAGAACAAACATACATACATCAATACTCTTTACAGCACCTTCTAAAAGTTCTTTTAAGCGGGTTTTGTTAGTCTTGTGATGTAGTAGAGTGCAGTTTTCAAAATGACAATGACCAGCAGTCCAGTAGTTGCACTGGTAACCCCCATCAGGGAACATGAGGACTCGTGCCTCTGGTTCCTCAGATACCTCACATTGCCATCTTGTCTTCCAAAGATTGTACAGAATATAAGAGGTGATAGCCAAGTTGGTGGAGAGAGACAACACAGCAGTGAGCTCCCACAGCCTTGACATTTTGTCTACGGAAAACTAAATCATAGTTACATTAATTAATCAAACGTGAAAATGACTTTTAAATGAGATTTTCTTTACAATCAGTGTTTATTAAAAGACAATGATTTAAACTATGAAAGGCTAGGGGGACAGATTTGGCAACTCACTGTTTTATAATTTTTGCTCTAGAACCTTCTAGGAACAAGTGGCATGGCATAAAAAATATTGTGTATTTAGATCTTAAGTGACTGGCCTGAGGTTCACAACATTTACTGGAATTAACAGAGTTGAAAGCACAGGACAGATGTTATTGTCTAAGCTATCAAACTTGTAGGGGTTGGGAGGATGAATCATGCAGCTGAAACAACGCGAACGGAAGCTGAAGCTACATCATGCAGCTGACATATATATTTTCAAAGTTGCACTCTTTCAGGAGCTGTTTACAATAATCTCAACCTGCACCACTAATATCAATATTCGCACGAGGGCCGGCACTGTTTAAGAAAAATTTGACAGAGGGCTACTTTCAATAATGTTTTAAACTATACTAGCAACCATGAAAACAGCACAGGCGACCACAAGCTGCAGATATGGCCCAGTCAAGCTGCCAGTGATGAAGATACACTATTATTAATTCTGCTGGGTTTCGTCGGTAACTTTTAGACCTCCTGGTTAAGTTAGCAAATAGATGAAACTTTTAACTGAGATTACCGATCAATTGTGTACTTTAATACTATGTTTACAAAATATTGCATCAAGATTTATATTAGAACTTCAGACTTATTTATTAGGTGAATCCAGGACGATTAAGTGAATCCAAGACGATACGAGCGAATTACGAAATAAATTAATTGTGAGTCGATGTCAAAGTTCTTTTAAAAGGCAAATAAAGGCAAATAAAATTGAAATTTCTTGTTAGAAAGCTTGCAAAACTGGCAAAATGTGTGGCTGTTAAAGTTTAATCCTAGCAAATGCAAAATAATGCATGTTCCATTTAATGAAAATCCCCTTCAAGAATATGTATTTAGTGGTGTTACACTTGAATGTATTGAAGCAGAAAAAGATCTTGGAGTTTTAACTTCTTCAGATTTGAAATGGTCGAAACATATTAAAAGTTGTATTAGTAAAGCAAACAGTATGATTGCATGGGTACAAGGAATCTCGTTATAAGAGAATTAAAGTTAAGAGAAATGTTTATAAAACTATAATAATACCCCACTGTTGTCAACCATATCTTTCAGTTCATCTGGCACAACCTTGAATACCCGCTTGAAGCTTCCAACAAGCGAGGGAATGGTTATCCAAGTGGCTACACAGTTACCGTGGGAACCAGTGTCAGTCAAGGGGAATAATTTATTGCACGTAGTGCACCGGCACCGATGGTGTAACGGATTAACTGGATCTTCTAAGGGCACTTGAAAGTTTTCACTGATCATGTTCAATAGATATCCCATGTTCTCAAGCCTGAGCACATTATTACGCTGACGCTGCCAGTATTCGTGTTCAAACCAATATTTTTTAGCCCATTTCAGAAGACCTTCTACAACCTTTTGGTGAAGATGTGTACGTTCTTGCAGCCCCGATACCCTAGAATCAACAGCATCTTGACCATCAGTTAGTCTTGTTCTTGATGCTCGTTGAGTAGGGTCCACCATTAACGGTGTGGCCAGGTGTTCTGTGTATTCTACAAGAAAGTACTGAGATGCTGCGTTAGGCGAGACAATCTTCAGATTCTTGAGGGCCATCTTCACTTGACCCACCAAGTCGACGTAACCATCCAAAGTCAATCCGGAGATCTGAAAATATAAATATCCAGCTTTAAGACTCGTAATTACGTTGAATGAAAAGCAACTAATGATGATGCTAACGTGATTTTTCACAGTTTCTAAACTTACAACTATTCTAAATCAAACGTGATAAACATACTTACTTGAAATTGGGTCGAAAACCGTTTCAGGATTCTGGTTATAGCCCCAAGAAAGTAAATGTCAAGGAGCCACAACTCATCGGTAACGAGGATTAAAATCTCCTGAAGCGCCTCTACGTACAAAGCTAGATTAGAAAAGAAGTTGCACAATCGTAGAGTCGTGCGCGACGAACTTCATATCCTTATCTAGCTTTGAGATGTACAGGCACTTCGAAGACGCCTCCCCCAGTTTACATACGGTCTCGTACAGAACATTCTCTCTAAAAAACTTGGTCAAAGAAGCGAGTGATTCCTTAGCTTTCCTGATGTCTGGGTACTCTAACAGTGTATGCTTCAAGATGAGTTCAATTAAGTGAGCGCCATTTTCCCACACCCAAATAACTTTACTCCTCATTGATTCATGTACACTGTCAGTAGTATCACAGAACAACTGGAGGAGACGATCTGACAGGTTCACATTAAGTATACCGCCATCGGCACAGAGGCCACAATACGATCTCCTCAGTTACCTCCGGTCCAACCCAGCACTCTAGTGAAACTGTCATATATGGTTTGGGCAATGCCGGCAACCGACTGATCAATAGCCGCTGGGTGGCCCAGATAGATCGTGTTCACCAGGGTTTCACTGTCTTCAATGTCCATGTTCAGTAGTCGGATCGCAACGAGTGTACGCTTCCTCAGTTTGTCCTGATCTTTGTCGGTGATCAGCGAGAATGGCAAGGGTAAGGTAAAATTGCTATTGGTGAAGTAGCCTACTAGCTGTTCACATAACAATTTTTAACCTTCATCTACCACTCTCGGAGGAAAGGCTTTAGAGTGGTTTAGATCCCCCACCTCAGCACCAGCAGAATCCAAAAAGGGAATCATCTCCTCGTAGTCCCTGATAAAAACATTATTCCATACAAATGGTTAATGTATATACATTGAAACACACAAAAAAGATTTTAACAAAGCAGCAACTATAAACGAAAACTATTTCGATAACTTGTCAATCATATTCACGTCTGACGTCACCACTCACCTGTAGCTGTATCCAGACTTTATGTTTTTATACGCAGCAAGGACCAGGTTGAAAGCAGCTTTCTCTGCGACAGATTTGCCGTCTGCCGCCCGCCCAGTCATCTCTCTATAATACAGGGGCCCACTTGGAGTATTGTGCTCAGTTGTGGTCTCCACCTGCCTGCCTTGGGCTACTATCATTGAACTGGAATCTAGAAGAATTTAAAAAGACTAATAATTTAGTAGACACAGGCAACTTTTGGTAATGTTTTTTGAAAAAATTATTGGTAGCAATGAATTGTGCTCTGCCAATTGCAACACTTAAAATTTGATTGTGCTCTGCCAATTGCATCACTTGATTTAATTGAATGTTTATATATTGTTTGACACAATTTTTATAATCTGCATTATGTTGCTATTTTAGATAAGATAAGATAAGATTTAAAATTATGTGTAAATATTAAGGATGGACTATTACGAATTATCATTCTACATGAATAAGGTAGTGAAAAATTCATGAGAAGCATTCGGAGTCATATCGCACATAAAATACATTTAGTGTAGCGCTCGACTTTTATTTATAGTAATAATATAAGTAAAGCTATTTAATTATATATGATATAGCTCACCTACTTCGTGACTACGTGCGCGGCGTAATGGGTTGTTGGAGGGCAAATTAACCAACATATTTTAATCTTTTTTGTTTAAATTTCAGTAACCAGTAACGCGTGCCGCTTTTTCCCCGAATTATAAATAATGAAGCGAAGCCAGGCAAAATGCTTCAAAATAGTGTTATACGTGTCCGGTCATTGACGAATGATTTAACGGGTGATACTCGTGATCGACGAGTCAAACTTTACCTGAGGACCCCAGGCTATTATGTTCATTAACATAACCGAATATAGATTTGGCGGAATGACAGGCTGAGCGCGGCCCAGTAAGTCAAACTCGGCGCGCGTCCTGGTCACTGGTAGGTTATAAACATACAAACGGATGATACTCGTTTAAATTTTTTATAGCACGCGCCGCTTTTTTCCCCGAAATATTGGCCCGAGACACAAATAAAATGACAAAGCTTCAAAACGTACAAAATAGCGCGCGCCGGGTCAGTCAGGAGTACAGTGTGGACCACAGGCTATAATGTTTACGCACAAACATTAAAGATTCGGCATGGCAGAATGACAGGTTGCTCTATATCCAGAGCCCTTGCGCTTGCAGAAGCGCGCGCCCGCCTCACGTCGGTAAAACTTGACTTCGATCATGACATGTGAAACAAGCGCGCCCGCATGGCAGCGGCGCGATTAAAGCACATGGTAGCGCGCGCCGCTTTCTTCTCGAAATGTTATGGCCCGATACGATGGCAAGTGTTACGAAGTAGCGCGCGCCGGGCCAGATCATTAACAATGGTCAAATAAGTTATTATATAGCTTATAGATACAACACTTTTGACTTAAAGTTGTAAGTGCTATATACTACTACTAGTTTAGACTTTAAGTGCTACTTTGTAGCACTTGCCTCGGTGCTCGGGCCGCTAGTATAGCTAATATTTCGAGAAGAAAGGCGAAAGCGGCGGCAGCGGCCAGCTCGCGCTACTTCGAAGAAATTTAGATGGGTATGGAGTAACTATAACATCCGTCAACCTGTAGAACAGAAGGATTTTCGACAAATCTGTTCCAAATCAAAATGTCGAAAATCATGTGTTTTACTTTTTAAGCAATTATGAATTAACTTTCGATTTTCTCCAGATCCTAATATACAATTTTTTGAAACTTTCTAGATAGTTCATAGTTATATGGTTGCAAGACGGATAATCTGTGAAAGTTTAAGCGAATGTCTATGTGACAAATTTTAGATATTATTCGTCTTGTTATTACTGAAGCGTGGTTACGATAATAATGGAACAAATAAAATCTCCATCGTTTCGTTGTCTTCATCAATGTTTAACTTTTAAAATGATTATATAATTGAATTATTGAGAACAATGAAATTTAAATATTAAAATGTTCATGTGAATTCGAAATTTAAAAATGCAAAAATCTTAGAACAAAATTAATTTCCGTGATGAAAAAATTCAATAGATAACAAACGTCTAAGA